TTATATACTGCTCCGGCCCGCCAGATCTCCTGGTCAAACCGGGAAGGTCAGTACTATACAAGATCAACTACTATACTAATAGAGATCACAGATGCCCCAACAGGTTAACTCTAGAGCGCCTTACAAAAATTGAAATAAACGACATCCACGTGTTTTTCAACGTCCGAAGCAGCGGTCCAGTCGTGCATAGATTCTATAAGTTGTGTTACGATTGATTTCGATATGTCGTCTCATGAAAAACGTGTATTCATGGCGATGCCTCATCTTGGGATTTCTTATGCCATTAACCTACTACATATTACTATTATACTTATTACAAGAGCAATAATCGTGTGAACCCAAAAAACAAAAAACAACAAAAAAAAAACAAAAGTATTGTGACAACCCTGCAAGTTCTGTGTAACATTGTAAAGCAACACAGACGAAAATGAGATCAGGAGATTGGAGAAGAATGGGGCGCTTAGACAAGCTATACAATGTGGGTCATTGCGTACGGGTGGGTCCTGGTGCAAATAACTGACTACGGTAAGCAAAAACTCATTCACTTACAAGCATTACTAAACAAAAACCGGTAGTAAAAGCAAAAATAGCTCACTTTTCTCAGCCTCTTGGGGCAGGAAATTGAATTAGGGATCGCGGCAGCAAAACGAATAACAGAGGAGAAAATAATGAGAGAAAACATCGCCTAGTCGCTCGGCGATCAGCTGGTTGTGTGTGGGTCCTAGAACGAAAAGCTGCAATCTGTATCGCCTCGACTCTCGCTTGACGGGACAGCGATTGAGGGGCGGGAAAGCCCGCAAGCTAGCAGAAGGGAATTATCGTGAATTGTGCCATTAATTGAACTGAAGTAAAGGAATACATGGAAGTGCAATAAAGGAAAAGAGTCAGGAAACAAGGGCTCACGGGAACAAACTGAATGACTGCTCAAATGTACCTATTTTGCAAATTATGCGGTCTAAACCTTCACCTGAGAAAAATTGTCATAGTGAAGGAAGGGATGCTGGAATTTGATCACCCCAATACTGGTTCTGTTTTGGTGTTGTTCTTGTGCTGAAATCCATCCCTGAGCTCCCTTAAGCAGACGAAATTCCCTGTCGACTGAACAACTATAAACCCTTGAATCATAAAAAGTTCTCGTGTTCTAGGGCCCAGTGCATAATCACTACTATCTCAGCGAATTGAAAGACGGAAAACTTGAAAATAGTAGGTTTATGAAAGAATTTCGAATATGTACATTCTTTTTCACTTACTGGTCTCTGTTCAGCGCTGGAAATACTCCGAGATGAAGAATATGAAGCCAGACTTGCCGCAATGTTGTTGCCAACAGCTTTTTTCGAAACGGTCACTCTGAAGGGAGATTTCGGTGGGTTGTGCTCCCTTTTTGTTTCGATTTTGGGATGACTCATCCAATCGTAGACTTTCTCTTGAGTTCTACAATTTCTGATTAGGGTAACCTGGCTCTCCGTTGAACAGAATCCGTTGTGTCATACACAAATAAGTGACTCGAATACCTAAGAGCAGCAACTGAGGACCCATTCTTTTTCGATAACTCTGTACGTGATCAAATTTGCAATAAACTGAATTGCTGCGTTACTTTACGTTGCCACATCGCAGCTGTAGTCCGTAACGGTCACCCCTTCTCCGTTGCAACCGCACTGCCAGCATCGATCACCTTTGGTTGGGTGTAGCTATAGGATGTTGGAGTTTGAAAATGAGCTACTGCGAAGTTAGCATACTTCAAACAGGACATAAGGAACGGTTGTGGACTACTTAAGCGATAGAGACAAACACCGCGGCGCATAGCTCGTCTTTTTCCTCGCAGAGAAACAGTTCCCCTCTGATTTGCATAAACACCTTCTCAGGAAAGTTCCTTTCCCTAGAAGCTCGGGCCTTTGACGTAACACTTTTACACTCGAATCTTCCCGACACTTTCGTTTGCTGTGTGCATTCAGCCGTCTATCACTGCAACGTACCTACATGATTTGATTCTATTCTCTCCTATGCCGTGTCTGAAGTGGTCAGAATGTAGACAGTTGCGAACTAGCCTTTGACAGTTGCGAACTAGCCTTTCGAAATTGATATCGAGCATTATCTTTCACGTAGTTACATAGAGTTCCAAGGAACTGATTGAAAATCTGTGTGGTGTTTTGCAGAGGCTCGAGTGAAAATCATCTTACCGTCTGATCAACGACATAGATCTACCGTTCGCTCGCTACCAGTTTTACTGAAAGTGTGCGGTATTACCAACTCTTTTCTATCAAGTTGTTCGGAGAATAGTTATGATTTTTGAGCGTTACACAAAAAAATTTTACTCCTGTTGAATGAACCTTGATCAGTGATATATAATCTTGTTTAGTTATCGTTTGCCTCCGTTTGGTAATTTCATGACTCCTTTCTCGTAAAATTACCAGTTTTTTGGCCAAAGAACTGAACTACATGGGGCTCGATATCCTCTTCTTCGGTAACGGTTTTCACATTGAAAGAGTTCTACAACAACCATAGATGTTATTCGAANTGGAGGATGCAGCATGACTATTTAGCCGGGCTTCGAAAGTTTTTGCCGAAACACAAAAAATGTATGCAATCTAGCCTCGTCATAGCATACTTGTCGACTCGCTAATGTTGGAGAGCTTCTTCAGTTCCTCTATTGAATTCCAATGAAAAAGCGTCTGATTACATTCTGGTTCATTGGAGGTAATTCAAATCATAGCTCACATTTGAAATTCCACCAGATTGAAGCGTGACCTAATCTCGACAGATCAGCCTTGAACCTCGTTTGATTAGGCTTCGATATTCACCACAATCTTTTGTGAGCAACATTATTGGAAACATTCCCACTTTTATCTGCTGCCGCTATCCGCTAAATAAGTAAGTGGTATTAATTGTCTTCAAAACGCAAATTGCAAAACTAGCACGCTGCGTCGAGTAAGTTCCAGTCAACTCATATGGCCTATAAGCATCTGACTTTTTTTGCTCGTCCGAGTTGCGGTCCGAGTTAATGGATGCGCTAGTCTCCTCGGTAAACTCTTACATGGGTAACATGAAGCTTCAGTCAATATGATCAAAAGGTCATTATCCTACCCACTAGCCAGCCACCTTGAAGTGAAAATTTGACAAAGCGGAAAGCTGTAAACCAGTTTCCACATATGCTCTGTAATGAAACACGTCAGCATATGTTCCACATATATCATTAGAAAATACCAGCAGCTCTTAAGCCACGATAGAAGTAAAAAGGTGAAATAGCTCAAAATGCTTCTTCTAACACTTTCTGATCGAACTCATTTTAAATTACAAATGAGAACGAAAGTTGTTCGGTTTCGTCTAAAAAAGTCCGACTTTATATAATTCGCAAAGTGTGTCTGTTGGTGTGTCGGTGTATTTGTGTATGTGTGTGTGTGAGTGTGTGTGTGTGTCGGTGTGTGTGTGTGTCGGACCGGAAATTCACAACTCCTGTTCCCGTGGACCTAGAAAGCTCATATTTGGCAGGAGTACAGGGGGCAGCATGAGAACACTCACGACAGGAGGTAGGAGCAAACTCCACCCACAGGGAGCAACTTGTGCGCGATAGAAATTTTAGGTCGCAAATTCATAACTCCTCTCCAAGTGAATCCAGTGGATCCAAAGCATTCGAAATTGGTAGGAGTACAGGGGGCGTCATGAGAACGCTTATGGTGGGTGGCAGGACCGAACTTCATGCACAGGGAATGGGGCGTGCGCGATAGTAATTTTGGGCAGCAAATTCATAACTCCTGTTCACGTGGACTTACAGCGTTCAAATTTGGTAAGATCACACTTTTCGTATTATCAGTGGAACCTCAGCATTCTAATAGGTGATGCAGGATATGGCGGCATCGTAGGTACTCGGTGACAGGATCTGGTGATAACTGACAAGAGAAGATAAGGGACCTAAGAGAGGGTGCCTACCGATCAAAATTCTAACCCTTCAGTATTTACGATGTAGCTTTGGCTGTTCAGTATGTTTCGTTCGATAAGACGAGTGATAGGGACCGATTAGCGGCACTACGCTAGGCAGTTAGAACTTTGTTCATTCCTACTAATAGATTACGACCGCTACCTAGCAGGGTTTGTGATTCAATGAAGGATTCTTTTTGCTTGATATCATTTGTGACAAAATCTAGCCGACCACCAATAATCTCGAATTTTCAACTAATGATGTCTCCGTAAAGAAAGGGGTCCATTGATAAAGAACATCTGATAACGGTACTATCATCACTCAGAACATCTCCACAGCATCATCTTTGATTGTCTAACAGTTGGATTTTGATGGGTATTTATTTCTAAGAAAGAGAGTAAAAGTTCGAGACTTCCAATCAAAGGCGTAAGCACCGACTTGAACTGAATACCATTTGCCCTGCCCTGTTACTCCTGTATCAAGTTTCGTAGGCAGGAAACTGCCATTTGTTGCAAAAAAGGAGTGGAGAGTTAGACTTACTATAACTATATCAAAGAATTAGGGGAGCTTTCGATTTCTGTTGTGTCAAAAAAGAATTTCGAGCTCCGTTTCAGTTTCATACTCTCACTCGGCTGAACAGCGGGAAAAAACTTAAAATCTATAAACTTTGAAAAAGGGAAAAATTCTTTAGTACAACATTTCTCGGGATAGGGTGTTTGACACAGGAAGGAGGAGAGCCTGGCGTTAGCAGGGCGATCCGACTGGTGTATATGTACGCCTGTAATATAGCGTTGATAGTAAAAAACGTTTGAACTTCCGAAAAACTTTTAAAAAAATGTTGAAGAAATCGTTTTCAAAAATTGTAATTACTTTCCGAACGGCCCGATATTTTGTATTTGTTTCTTCCATTTTAATAGTTTAATAAAGGCGTAGTTTCAGCTATGCAGGGCCTAACACTCAACTGGTTAATGACGAGTTCGCGATCGGTATCGAAGAGTATCTTGCCTCAGCTCTTAATTACGCAGTCGTGAAGGTATAGTTTCAACTTATACATTGACAAATGTTGGATCTCTTGCTAATCTCAGCAGAAGACTTGTTTTCATTCGATGACTTTTTAATTGTTGTTATTCCGCCGCAGGACGCGATTCGAAACTCTTACAAGGTTGGGCAGTAATCCGTACTTTTATCCGGGTATCGTGTTCTGATATTTTACACTACTAACAATAAGATCCCGCTTGCCCTCTACTTCTTAGTGGCTCATGTGCCACCAGTTGCGCTTCGCACACTAACGCGTGTGTCACAGCAAAGAACGGTTCAAGCAGAAATGTCTGTTTGATTTGTGCTCCAAACCCGAGAATCTGGCGATAGGCTACGGTGAATAACGAAATTTCCCAAAAAGTTTGAGAATGCTGCGCTCACTACGACTGACCTCCTTCGTCCGTTTTTTTACCTATTCCTACCTTCTGCCCTTTTTTCTCGGTGTGTGGGCTTTCTGAAGCGAAATTATCAAGTTTCCCTCATTGCACCGCCTATTTCGATGAATGCTCCACCTCCTGTAAGCTGGGTTCGCTTGAGCTCATATATGCTCTTTTTTCTTTCTCAAACTCCCAGCCGTCCCAAAGTAAGCACGACTGCTTTAGGTAATACCGAATTTCGCGACAAGTCGACAGAAACGATTTCTTTACATACCATTCAGATTCCCTGGCTAAGCTAGCATTCATATGTAGTATGTAGGTGCCACTGTGAAAACTCATTTCCGGGCACCAATGTTCGCATTGAAGCAACTTTGGTGAAAATTCGATCAGCTGATCGTTGTAGCGTAAGTTACCATATTTTAGATCCTCACCCAGTCTTTACTTTTATTCCCCTCCAATTGTGTTCCTTCTGAAAACGCGTTTGAGTGGTAACACTCTGCTCATGACCTTTTCATTTGTTGCATTCATTAATTGGTATTATGAAAGAAAGATCTCGAGAAGTAGCGCTAATCTTCGCATTTGGTAGTGAACTGCTTAATTTAATACTGATGGTGTTTGCGAAGGGGATTTAGACAGTTTCCCTGCCCATCATGTTACTATACACATGCACCGTCTGATTCCTGATATTCTAACGAGATCCATTTCCAGTCATATCTTTTTAGAAATTTGTCATTTTTCGGATGCTAACAAGATCTAGCGGCCCAATAGGCTCAATTGCCGATGATATCCAAAAAGGCGTGATGTTCGAGTATTGGATATCAAATTGTTGGCTCATTTCGAGTGATATGTAAGCGTTAGCACTTAGGGAATTCAATTTTTATTTCTCTACATTCTTATGGCTTTACATTTTGAGGTTCATTATAAACCATATCATTTCTCAGTTCAGTTCCCGACAGCGACCGCCTTCGATCCCCCCCCCCCCCCCCCCCCCCAAAATGTCAGGGTCCCATTGTTAAGACGAAAGACATAGCCTCTTGATTTTTACGTCCCCTTATCAGTCTATATCAGCTGCTATCAATTATATATTTGATCATCCATAGCCCCTTCACATCCCACATCACCTACCAAAGCTCCAAGGCTCTACTGCTAACATGAAGGGTGTTACAGATGTTGTGTCTCTAGCCTTCTATGACCTTTCATCAGTGGTTATCAGTTGCTATCAGTTCCCGTCAGCGTCAGTTATCTACAATCTTTTCACATTCTACGTCTCCTGCCAAAGTGCCAAGGTTTTGTCGTTAACATGAAGGGAGTTACATACCTAGTTGTTCTCGCCTTATATGGATCGCTATCAGTCCCTATCAGTTGCTATCAATCCCTGTCACCAAACATTTGTGGTCCCTTCACATCCCACACCACCCATGAAATTGCCAAGGTTTCGCCGTTAACATGAAGGGAGTTACATACCTAGTTATTCTCGCCTTATATGGATCGCTATCAGTCCCTGTCAGTTGCTATCAATCCCTGTAACCAAACGTTTGTGGTCCCTTCACATCCCACACCACCTATCAAAGTGCCAAGGCTTCGCCGTTCACTAGAGGGAGTTACGGATCTTGTGTATTTTGCATTTTAAGGCCCCTTATCAGTTTCTATATATTGTTGTCGCCTCCTATCACCTACCATCAGTGTTCCCATCCTGATGTCCATCTCTCTTCCAAATTTGAATGTTCTAGGTTCAGTGGGATAGGAGTTATGAATTTCCGGTCAGACAAACACACACAAACACACACACACACAAACACACCAACAGACACACTTAGCCGATTATATATGTGGGATATAATTTTAGATAACTCTTTCATTCCAATGCTGCTCCTTGTAAATAATATTGCTGTATGCAGTTACACCAAAGACTCCTCCTCCCGTCTACAGCCTGCCACTGCGCATGGGTACATTCGTGCGATTCGGACCGCGCGCGACATATTGCGCGGCAATTCGTGGCGGTTCGAACGACTCTGGCGCCGATTATTGGGGTACAAACTTGGAGAAGAATAGTTGGGTATGGTCAGCTGATCTTACTAATCTACTCTACTTCATATTTATGTTCCAATAATAGGCAACAGAGTTGATCGAACGAGTCCGCCGCGCAGTTTGACGCGCGCGGTCCGAATCGCATTCCCCCCCAGCCGCCTGGATCCTACCAACCTTGAAAGCTTAGGGTCTACGGCAACAGTAGTTATGAATTTTCTCTAGGAGACAAGTTTTTACGCACACCAGCCACCCACAGGCGGAGTCTGATACCGCCACCCATAAAGTTCCCGTACTGTCACCTGTACTTCTACCTTTACTTCTGCCATGTTCACACCCTCTCGGTCCGGGAACGAGAGTCATGAGTTTATCGTCGAACACACAAACATACGATCAGGTTATGTATAGTAGGTTGATTGCTTATCAGCACTCGCACGTACAAAGTGTTGAGCCGGCCAGCCAATGTCAGCATTGAATGGTTAAGTTGTAAGCTTTTCTTTGAGCTTTGACTTGATGTTTTTCGAAGGGCATAGCGCCTGGATAGCACAAATAAGGTCGAGTCTCGTCCGAGGCCGGAGCTTTCTCCGAGACCCGGTACCTTGGCAGATTTAGCTTATATATAATTGAAACTGCGACGAAATGGTACTTTGGGTTGCATAAGTAACATGAGAAGGAAGGGGTGATTTTGGCGAAGTGTGATGTTGCTAACAACCCCGGCCGGTGGGGGGACCTTCTGCTCTTGTTGGCTTTAGCGTCACAACACTTGTTTGTCAAGATTTACTGACTACCCTTCACTTTGACCTCCTCGGAGGTTATTGTCAGGCAAAACACGGATATAAACAGCACTAAGATTCT